TGAAGCATTCCAATACTGGTGACAACCTATTTTATAAAGAAATGCATTATACTTGTGTTATTAAAACATTACTTTCTAAAAATCAACCTGGCTGTCAAGCATTCCTGGTCCAGGCTTGGCCGCATGATGGTGATGATATTTGCGTCTCACAGACCCACTGGGTGAATGGAATGTTTCGCCACTCTCAGAGCTTTGAGTGCTATACCTCCGTTCTCGAGCTCTTTTCTGTTCATCTCTTCTTTTACGCTGGCGCTTAATAGCCATAGCAGAATATATTCCAACCGAATGCATATTCGTCCTACAAATCGGGTAATGTTTCAAATATTTGTATTTTACTCTTAGATGTCATTTTTTCAATTGGGAGCAAAGTGTAATAGCCTTCGTTCTTGTGTCGGTGGCACGTTTCGACAAATAGATTGTGTTGTGCCAATTAAAATATTTTCAGAATGGTTAAATACGGAGAGGTAAAAGTTGAACAGTTGAAAAGGAATTGTCTGAGCGGGGCTTACCGACGAGCGGCTTGAAAGCCGAACTGCAGCTGCGGTTGGAAGCTGAAATGGAGAGAGCAGGCCTCAACGTCGACAAGAAAATCTATAAAAACTCAGAAGCAATTCAGCGTTTGGATGAAGAGATCAAGCAAGAGATCACACGTCTTGATGAGAAAATTCGACAAGTGGAACATCGTCTCGAAGATCGGCTCGAGGACCGATTCCGTCGATTGGAGTTGGGTGTTCCTGTCAACAACATGACAGGACAAAAACCGAAATTCAGTACACCTATTTTTGGGGGCACAACAACATTTTGCGTTTTCATGACGCGATTCGAGATGTCAGCATCGAAGAATAATTTGATGGAAGCTGACCGCGCGGCCTCTTTGGCGCTTCCTTTGAAGGGTCTTGCTGCTGATCTGCTATAATCGATTCCCGACGCAGATAGATTAAATTACGAGGCTGTTAAGCGTGCCCTGGAGCGTAGATATGGAGGTGACCACAGGCGGGAAGTTCCCTTGGAGCTGAAGGGCAGGAAACAACATTACCGCTAGAAACATATAGCGACTCCCACGCCTGGCTTACAATGATGCTCAAGAGGTGTCGAGAGGTATTTAACGGAAGATGCTTCATTTGCAACCAAGCGGGTCATATGTCGCTATATACAACGAGGGGGAACGTTGTGAGTTGCTGCGGACACCGCAATTCTACATTTATACCCGATACTAAGTCAGTATGGCTCTCCTCCGGCAGACGCCGCTAATATTAAACGACACGACAAAGAATGCGTGCGAGAGAGACAGAAAATCAGTCTGAGCGTGACGTCGGGCGCTGCGTAGCCAATGCAAATTGATTTGTTCCTGTTGGCTATAAAAACTATCTGTTCTGATCCAGATTCAGCAATCTGAGAGATATGGTCATTATCTATGATTCTGTGTTTTTAGTTTACTCGAATCTGCAATATTGTGGATGCAACATATTTTCGTCTTTTGTGTGGGCGGAAAGGGGTGGGGCGAAATTTTGAGATATACGTTTTATAGTGAGATCTAACAGGAGTGCGGATACCAAATTTGGTTACTCTAGCCTTAATAGTCTCTGAGATTTATGAATATCCCCAGATGTTCATCCTTTGCGGGGGCGGAAGGGGGTGTGGCGAAATTTTGAAACAAACTCGTCTCGGTCCGATATATTAGGAGTGTGGATACCAAATTTGGTTGCTCTAGCTTTTATAGTCTCTGAGATCTAGGCGCTAATGTTTTACTCTAAGCAAAGACGCCTATGCTACGTGTTTGTTAGAAAGAGACAGGGCGAGATAAAATGAAATTGTTTTCTTGATGCTGGCTATAATAATACAACGATCCAATTCAGATTCTGCAGTCTAAAAGATATGGTCATTCTCTACGATTCTGCGTTTTTGGTTTTCTCGTTTCTTTAAAATTGTGGCTGCCACAGATTTTCGCCCTTTGTGGGGGCGGAAGTGGGCGGGGCAAAGTTTTGAAATATGTTTGTAGTAGTGACATATCACAGAAGTCTGGATCCAAAACATCGTTGCTCTAGCTCTTATAGTCTTTGAGCACTAGGCGCTGAAGGGGACGGACAGACGGACGGACGGACAGACGGACAGACAGACATGGCTCAATCGACTCGGCTATTGATGCTGATCAAGAATATATATACTTTATGGGGTCGGAAACGATTCCTTCTGGACGTTACACACATCCATTTTCACCACAACTCTAATATACCCCAATACTCATTTTGAGTATCGGGTATAAAAAGAACGAGATCCTGGCCCATGGAGCGGAAATCATCGCAGGAACAAAGGCATATACAAAAGTTGAAACCAGAGACCCCCAGACAGATTTCTTAAACTAAAACAAGCCGGTACAGAGGGCAAGGGCTGACTCACACTACGAACTGTCCCACAATTCTCGTTTCCTAGTTGCAGCGAAACTCGAATGACGTCATGGATAGAACCGAGCTGTTACTAACTTTGAACACAGGGGCATCTCATTCTATAATAAAGAGAGGTATTGTTAAAGGAAATGTGGAGCCAAGTGGTCAGCTATAGCAGCGCCACGATGAGCTCAATCAAACGAAGGAGGCCATTGAGAAGCAAGAACAGCAGCTGCAGCAAGTGCAGCATTAGTTTTCTGAAGTTAGACAATTGGCGGATCAGGTTTCAGGCTTAAGCAAGAGCAAAGTCTGTCCGAACTAGAGGGCTGCCGAGCCACAGTCCCAGATACAAAAGGATCTTCAGCTAAGCGAAGGCTAAGGCTGAAGCTGGAAAAGCAGTCCGAAGCAAACGAAATCCTGCTGACGAACTTCGCATTACTGGGAAAAAGCCACGAATCGCCCATTGGGCAAATGGAGCTGGAACTGCAAGTTCCAATCACAGTCGGACAGAAGTAAAGAGACCTTATAGACGGTCGAAGACGAGCTGAAGCGACTGCAGCAGCAGTTGGCAGAGTCCGATGAGGAGGGCAGCATACAGCTTGCCAAGCTGGAGAAGGTCGCTGAGCTGAATGTTCAAACAAGAAAAACTGAGGCAGCTCTCGTCTCCAGCCAGGCGGATATAGAGTCGAAGAACAGGATGCTGGAAACCACAAATGCGGCACTGGAGAAGATCAACAAGAACTATGCGGAAACTCGAGCAGAGGCCTCCCAGTTGGAGGAACGTCTCCAGAAAATCTAAGAGCAGCTCCAATCCAAGCTGCAGGCAGAAAGAACTTCGTCGAGCATCCTTCACATCAAGATGACTAAATTCAGCGAACAAATGGCCAGCAGTCTAGAGGGTCTGACCATTAAGACCGATGCCTGGGGCCAAAAGATGCTGCAGAAGGACCGCGAGATGCGGGATCTGTGCCATCAGCTGCACTCCAGTCAAGAAGCTCTGGCCAAGCTGAAAGCAGAATCAGAGCCACGGCAAGGAGCGCTGAACGAGTCAGTCAAGAATCTGAAGAAGGAATTCATATTTGAATTCGACTCTATTCAATCAATCGATTACAAAGTTGGACTTGGTCTAATAGAACCATGTTCATATTTGAGTGCGATTCTATTCAATCAATCGATTACAAAGTTCAAAATTAAAAAATTAGGCATTACCTAAACTTAAGACCACCGAAGAAATTTTTCCTCGTGAAGGAAATTTTCTTGGAATCATTTGTCTATAATAAAATTTATAAAGAGAAATGGCTATGTTAAAGTGAAAATTGTAAGGTTTAGCCTTTAGCACTACCATGAGTTTAGTATTTGACAAATCTATTTATTTATTTGTTGGGTTTCAAAGTAATAAAAAGTTAGGCTTAGTTGTAGAATAAATCGTAAAAATATCTAAATATATGTATATACAGACGATAACGGTGTTTCTTAGAAAAGTCTTCTTTCTTGTGTGGTTTTTTTTGTAGTCTAGGAAGGATTTCTTCCTTCGAAATATTGCAGCAATTAAAAATCATTATGGAAATGAACAAGGCAAAACAATGTTATGATTGGTACTACGTAACACGTTTTGATTGGCATCCATAGAATTTTGTGGGTCTTTGTATAGGAAAAAATAACAAATAGATTTTATGCAAAAATCTAAACCATACATATATAAAGAAAAAATAAAAAGTTACAGCATTTATTTGCTATATATAAGTAATAATCATTTCACAACTATTAATTTGGGTTCCAGAATTCAATAAACGGAAAGCACCAGTTACTGTTCATTCAAAATAAATTATTTGCATTATTTAGGCATTTTAAGCTTACATAGTAACTAAATTTATATATTTTGATAAGGTCCTTTGGTATTGGAATGCAATCATTTGCATGAGTTTTAAAATAACAGCAATTCTTAGTCTAGAAGTACAAAAATGAATGCTATCATTGGTTTCATCCCAGTTTACAGGTCAGACAAAGCTTATATTGACATTAAGAAATCGACCCCTATTCTTTTTTGTGTTTCATATTTGTACATACATACATACATATATAATATAAATTATTGTGCAATTATTTGGTATTACACTAGTCAGCAGATAAATGTTATAATCGATCTCGTATAGACTTATAAACATTTTGGAGGAGCTGATTTATAGAACTTGGGTAAAACGGTACACTGTTTTATTTGAAAAGTTTTCCAAGGATTTTCGTTTTTGAAAAATGGGTTACATAAATAATAGAAATGATTTATATTTCGTTTTTAAAGAATAGAGTAGAACCCCAAAATATACGTTTTCAGTCAGAGGGGGTACTTTAATTAATCAGTATAGGTCCAGCTTTCCCGTTCTGATGCAATTTTTGTTACACTGCATTTGGAAGTCGCATGTATTCATCACAGATTTGCTTTCCATATTTATCGGCAAACTCGGCTAACTTCCCAAAAGCAGTGTTATAATCCCATAGTATTTTTCCGTTCTGTGCGCTAATCTTCGCATGATTCCTAATCTGCAGTAATACTTCATTGTACAACGCATTCAGCAAACCCGATAAATAATTTTGTTTTAAAATTAAAATAGTTAATAGAATCTTAAAGTCATAATATAGTATTTTCAAACATTTAAATGTTTTGACGGATGTATGATTGAATATAGACATACACGTGGGTATAATGGCCATAACAATAGTTAGCTAAAATGTCTTTAAAAAATTGTTGCAGTTGATTATACGCCATAGGTATGTATCTTTAAGCTGTGTAAATAAGGAAAAATTAAGTAAGTAAGTGTTCTATATTCGTGTTATATTGATTGCATCAGTAATAGACTCCCTTCTTAACAGCTGTTTCGTATCATTTTCTATTTCAATCGGCGATATTCCTGCACTTCTGTCATTTAAATAGGGAGTATCTTCCTCTACAATTTTTTCGAGAAGTATATCACCAGAGTTATTCATACCTAAAACATAAGTTCAATAAATAAATTGAATAAGGGATAAAAGCGATATACGCTAACAATTACGTCCAACTATCGGTCCGTTAGATAAGTTATCCGAAGATGCGCAGTTTACGACTGCGACATCTGTGGGCGAGTTATTGCGGCCGCTTTTTTGTAAGGCTACAGCTTTGCGAGCATGGCGCGTGGTTAGCACACCAGTTTCAACATCTCTTTCAAGGCGGTGCCCTGAAACACATATGCATATGTATATCTTAAAATAGTAATATAAAAAAAACTATGTCTTACCAGAACGTGATCGAGTAAGCTGCCGTTGTACGTAGTCTTCGAGATCCTCCTCTTCCTTTCTACTTATGAGGCAATTCAAAACTAACAAAAATAGTCCAAGTCCAAGGGAAAATAATCCTGTGCAAGTCACCTCATTCCACCACGCAGAGCTGGAGCCTGAAACAATCCGTAAAGCTCAACATATACTCGTATCTGAATATTTTGTAAATATATGTATGTATGAGTGAGTATATAACTTACTAAACACATTCCAGGACATTGTTTCATCTGGAATAATTCCTGCCCCGATAAGAAAAACTCCAAAAACAATGAACACAATACCAATATGAAGCATTCCAATACTGGTGACAACCTATTTTATAAAGAAATGCATTATACTTGTGTTATTAAAACATTACTTTCTAAAAATCAACCTGGCTGTCAAGCATTCCTGGTCCAGGCTTGGCCGCATGATGGTGATGATATTTGCGTCTCACAGACCCACTGGGTGAATGGAATGTTTCGCCACTCTCGGAGCTTTGAGTGCTATACCTCCGTTCTCGAGCTCTTTTCTGTTCATCTCTTCTTTTACGCTGGCGCTTAATAGCCATAGCAGAATGTATTCCAACCGAATGCATATTCGTCCTACAAATCGGGTAATGTTTCAAATATTTGTATTTTACTCTTAGATGTAATTTTTTTCAATTGGGAGCAAAGTGTAATAGCGTTCGTTCTTGTGTCGGTTTCACGTTTCGACAAATAGATTGTGTTGTGCAAATTAAAATATTTTCAGAATGGTTAAATACGGAGAGGTAAAAGTTGAACAGTTGAAAAGGAATTGTCTGAGCGGGGCTTACCGACGAGCGGCTTGAAAGCCGAACTGCAGCTGCGGTTGGAAGCTGCAATGGAGAGAGCAGGCCTCAACGTCGACAAGAAAATCTATAAAAACTCAGAAGCAATTCAGCGTTTGGATGAAGAGATCAAGCAAGAGATCACACGTCTTGATGAGAAAATTCGACAAGTGGAACATCGTCTCGAAGATCGGCTCGAGGACCGATTCCGTCGATTGGAGTTGGGTGTTCCTGTCAACAACATGACAGGACAACAACCGAAATTCAGTACACCTATTTTTGGGGGCACAACAACATTTTGCGTTTTCATGACGCGATTCGAGATGTCAGCATCGAAGAATAATTTGATGGAAGCTGACCGCGCGGCCTCTTTGGCGCTTCCTTTGAAGGGTCTTGCTGCTGATCTGCTATAATCGATTCCCGACGCAGATAGATTAAATTACGAGGCTGTTAAGCGTGCCCTGGAGCGTAGATATGGAGGTGACCACAGGCGGGAAGTTCCCTTGGAGCTGAAGGGCAGGAAACAATATTACCGCGAGTCGCTTCAAGAGTTCGCGTGAAACATATAGCGACTATAGCGACAAGAGGTGTCAAGAGGTATTTAACGGAAGATGCTTCATTTGCAACCAAGCGGGTCATATGTCGCTATATACAAAAAGAACGAGATCCTGGCCCATGGAGCGGAAATCATCGCAGGAACAAAGGCATATACAAAAGTTGAAACCAGAGACCCCCAGACAGATTTCTTAAACTAAAACAAGCCGGTACAGAGGGCAAGGGCTGACTCACACTACGAACTGTCCCACAATTCTCGTTTCCTAGTTGCAGCGAAACTCGAATGACGTCATGGATAGAACCGAGCTGTTACTAACTTTGAACACAGGTGCATCTCATTCTATAATAAAGAGAGGTATTGTTAAAGGAAATGTGGAGCCAAGTGGTCAGCTATAGCAGCGCCACGATGAGCTCAATCAAACGAAGGAGGCCATTGAGAAGCAAGAACAGCAGCTGCAGCAAGTGCAGCATTAGTTTTCTGAAGTTAGACAATTGGCGGATCAGGTTTCAGGCTTAAGCAAGAGCAAAGTCTGTCCGAACTAGAGGGCTGCCGAGCCACAGTCCCAGATACAAAAGGATCTTCAGCTAAGCGAAGGCTAAGGCTGAAGCTGGAAAAGCAGTCCGTTCAAACAAGAAAAACTGAGGCAGCTCTCGTCTCCAGCCAGGCGGATATAGAGTCGAAGAACAGGATGCTGGAAACCACAAATGCGGCACTGGAGAAGATCAACAAGAACTATGCGGAAACTCGAGCAGAGGCCTCCCAGTTGGAGGAACGTCTCCAGAAAATCTAAGAGCAGCTCCAATCCAAGCTGCAGGCAGAAAGAACTCCGTCGAGCATCCTTCACATCAAGATGACTAAATTCAGCGAACAAATGGCCAGCAGTCTGGAGGGTCTGACCATTAAGACCGATGCCTGGGGCCAAAAGATGCTGCAGAAGGACCGCGAGATGCGGGATCTGTGCCATCAGCTGCACTCCAGTCAAGAAGCTCTGGCCAAGCTGAAAGCGGAATCAGAGCCACGGCAAGGGGCGCTGAACGAGTCAGTCAAGAATCTGAAGAAGGAACTAGCCAAGATCCAGGTGGACAGATATCAGTTGAGCTGCGGCACCAAGGAGACCATCAGGGAGCTGAAAGACCGCCTAGAAATCACCAACACGGATCTCCAGCACAAGCAGAAAATGGCACTAGAAGATGCTCAAAAGATCAGCGATCTAAAGACACTGGTGGAGGTCATTCATATGGCCAATTCTACTACGTTCGGGACGTGCAATATTAGGCGGAGGGCAGTGTAACAAATGGAGATTAAGTAGGCACGTAAAATCCCCAGTACAATAAAGCCTCCGTTTAGTAAAAAAATTTTATGGTTTTTAGGAAAATATTATATTAGGAAAACATTTTAGTTTTACCGTTAATTACGCCTGTTTTAACGCCCAGTCCACTTTGGCTTTTCTTCCAAAACAATTTTTTAAGGTCTGAGAATATATAAATATATTAAGTTTCATATTCATAAATATATTAAGTTGATTTCTAGCTTAGTTCAAAAGTTATAAGCCCCTGTGCAACGTCGTATTTCATAGCTTCAAACTGATCTGAAGTCTTCCACATCGTAGCGGATTTTTGAAGGCTCGATTATTTAAGAGCACTACAAGAAAAAGTAGCGGAATTTCTGGAAGACATTTCTGGTTCACTAGTTGCTTCCAGTTCGAACAAGTATTACCGACTGCTTGAACGAGTTTTTTACTTTTTTACTCATTACTCACGCATAAGTACTAAATACGTCACTAAAAAGACATGCCATTGAGGATTTCCAAAGCTTTCACAGAGTAGGGATGGATTCTTGTATCGCTATGAAAATCATAAAAATTAACTGAAGCCCAAAATACTAAACGCCTTTCGAGATGAACGATGCCGAAGAGCTTACTTCAGATAAGACTGTTCGGAGCGGCAGCCGTCAATAGCTCTTAAGACATTTCAATAATATCTTTTATATCTTGTTTTCTAATTTTCTTGAATTGTCTATTATGGCGCTCATCCTAAAAACAATAAGCAATACGTGCTCCACCATAGAGCTTTATACCACTTTCTACCACTAAAAAGGGATCAAAATGCGACAAACACACTTGGGATCTCGTCTCTTATGGCTCAGGGGCTCTACCTTATGTGTGATGGGGAAAGTGTATTTTCTTGGCAAATATGCAACAAATTTCTTTGAACACAGTAGTGTTGTGTTGCTCATGAGTGAGTGAACAAAAAAGAGTTCTTTTTTGTTCACTTGTTCTTCTTTGCTCACTTGTTCTTTGTTGTTCACTTGTTCATTTTTGCTCACTTGTTCTCTACTCACTTTTTGCGCAATTTTGCTCCTCAAAGGGCATTTTGCGTTCTGGCAGTTGTTGCTCATATTTGCTTTTACTTCACACTTTTTGCATTACCGGCAAAACTGTTTATTCTTTTGAAAATTCAGATTGTCGCTAATTCGAAGTATATTCGATACTTCGAAAGTATAGTAAAATTTGGAATCATTGCAATTTTTTTTTTAGTTTTAAATGTTTGATTAAAATTAAAATGTAACGTATTTTATTTGTTTCAAAATCTCTGGTGCTTAGTGATCTGTGCGTGAACAGTGAGCAAGTGAGCAACTGAGCAATCTAGGTGAGCAAGTGAGCAATATGAGTGAGTTGACTCACTAACTCACTTACTAAAAAAGAACAAGTGAACATGTTCCCCAAAATGAGCAATGTTGACCCAATACTAGAACACAGCCAACTCTATGTCGTAGATCCGCAACCAAGGAAAACTTCTTCGAAAACTTTTATCCGAACCATATAGATCAGATAAACCAAAAAAAAAACCCTGGTTGCAGCCTGAAAACTTGAAAAATAGCACAGCGCTACGAAACGAATCTATTTGAATGTAAAATTCTACAAATAGTCATAAGACCAGGCTTACAATCTAAAATTGGTCAAGTTGAAATTACAAATCAACTGTAGCACGGTTTAATCTGGCCGAACTAATATACATACATACATATGATGTGAAATATGGTAGCTGAAGAGATCCCCAAATGCAACGATTTTTCTTTATAAATCAAACCAAAACTGCAGCTACAAAAAAATTTCAATCTACACATATATGTACATATGTATGTACATTTGCGTTTTGGTCTTTTACAACTTACACTTTTGACCTACTTAAAGCCTTGTTCTGCTCCAGCCACACCCAAGATCAAAATATCCAATTACTAATTAAAAGTTTCCAGGTCTTGGGTTTGCCAATAATTTCAACAGGTTTAACTGGGTGTTGAACTTGTTGTGTACTTATGTAGGTATGTACTAAATTAATAAACGCAATATTCCGTAACGCAGGACACTTCTGCATGTGGATGTACTTGTACACATGTACATACATACATACGAATTACTAGTGAATCGCATTTATGAACCAGACGGTAATTCCAAACACAAATACAAATACTCACAAACATAAATATAAAATTTATAATGTACTCCCAATTTCAGTTTTAGTTTGAAAGACCCATAGCTATACACCAGTATGAGTAGGTATGCATACACACATACATAATCGGTGGTGGTTTCACCACCACCTTGTACCGTCCTGTGAATTGCATTCTGGCGCTTTTTCCTTTGTACCAGATGACTTCAACTATCCCACTATCTCACATTCGTTTATTCTCACCTTTTGTGCGTAATTTCCTTTGCCTAACAGAATGAAGAACTTTTTTTTAATTTTTGATCAATATAATAATGCATTATACAAAACATAGCACGACAGTCCCAATCACATTTTATTACCGAGTAAATAGTTAAAGTTATTATTTATATTTTATCGATTTTTGCTATGTACCAAAGTTGTGTGACCCTTTTATGTGTGATTCTGTATTTGGGCGAAATTTCTTGTTATCAAAACATGCGGCTTTGACATAAAGCAGGGGTGTAATTTTTATTAGATTTTTATAGAACGGAATAATTATTTATTATATTTTTTTATTGAGTGCAATTTATTTATTTATATATATTTTATTTACAAGCAAGAACAACGGTTTATACATGACAAATATGTTTCACTTGCACTAGTGTGCATTTTTCCCCAGAACTGAAAGTGAAATATCCTTTAGTATTAAACAAACTTAAAGCTAAATAAAATACCATTGATAAACTTCAAAGCTCTAAGAGATGTTGGTTCTTATCCGAACTTAAAGAAGCTTTACTCTCATACCCATTTAGTTCAATCAAAAACAAAATTACATACATATGTATGTACATATCCTTAAATGGTGACACTACAATTAAGAACTATTTACAACTGTGACGAATTAAACATGAAACCTTTTATTACAAATATATAAATATAAAATAAGTGAATGCATATGGTCTAATTTAAATCAAATACTTGTTTAGCACAATGGGTGGCACTTTCAAACGAGAGTATTGTGCTTTGAAACGTCCTTAGCTTCTGAATGTATAGTTTGTGGAGTTTCGTATTGGCGCTCTTATAGTAAACGCCATCAATTAGTTTTGCAGTTACGTAGGAAAGCCAAAGCACGTTTGTTTTAGGGGCAAATGAAGCCCAATTGTTTCTAAAAAATATAATCAGATATGATTGTAGACTAGTTTTCTTAGTCCATTACTCACTTTAGCTCATCCCGCATCAGTCGGTAAATATCATATTGATAGTCTCCTGACGCCGCAAACAGTTCCTCATCGGAAGACAGATCGTTAAAATTGCAAAATTCGTCTATAGTTATTCTTGATAGAGTGTAGTCAATGATTGTAACTTTCACCCCCTTCGAATATACTTTCAGATCCTTGGTATGAAATTTATAAGAAATTTCCTTCTTAATAGTTGGTTCAATTAATATGTTGCCCCAATGAAGATCACGATGCTCAAATTGGCACTCTTCTTCTCCAACTGCCAGGGCCAACATTATCTTAAAATAGTTAATATTAACCACTAGTAATAATCGAAGTATTTCTATAATCTTACCTGTTGCAATACATAATACGACTGTTCAGCATTTACAAATTTAAAACTGGACATGTCTTCTCCAGAAAACTTCAATTCTAAAACTATAAATAGTTGGTCATCTGCAAAAATTCTTGGATGATCATTTTCAGACTCCTTTTCCTCGTCGTAACTTTCCCAAAGTTTTATCAAATGTTCCGGGTACTTTCCTTTAACTAAAGATACCTAAAAACAGATTTAGTTATCCAAATATTATCCTAAACTTGTATTACCTTGTATATATTTGCATATCCATGAGTAGTATTATTTTTTCCTAATCTTAGGCTGCACATTTTCTTAGAAATTAAAATTTCTGGCAAAATTTGCTCAAAGGTCTTTTGCAATTCTCCGTTAACTTCAGTAGAACCTTCAATAGGTATTACCTTTAGGACAACGTCACAGTTACGCGTATCTCTTTTTTTCCGTTTCATAGTATACTTAAACACTTCGCCATAAGCACCTTCACCTATTTTCTTGGTATTCATCATTTTTGATGGTGCATAGACAACTTCAAATCGAAGCGGCTTACGCTGATCGCAATGTTTCAGAACTTGGCTCTCATAATCAGTAATTATATTATTGCAGTCATTTAAAAATACCGATTTTCGTCCTTTAGAAGGGCTGACTTGTCTAGATGCGCGGGCAGTGAGTAATCGGGAGTTGTCGCTTCTGTTTAGAGTAGGTTCAACTACTTGCGTTCGACGCCAAGAATTAAGAGATTTTCGCCACTTTCCTGGCTGTAAAACAAGGGAAGACCGAATTCCAAGTTCGTCAGACTTCTTTTTCGAGTTCCTAATCGTATCGATCGTATTCTTGGATTCTACTTCGAAGCATACTCGTTTTTTTATGTGCAGTTCTACAAAGTCCTCCACACGGTCAGTATTACGGTTCAGAATCCACGTTTTTTCAGTATTACCACCAAAGCCGTCAAGTTTCATTCCCGTGATAGGTGATATACCGCAGTGAAATAAATCAGTCCCTAAACGTTTTCCAAACGGCGTTGAAATGGAGTTACAGCTCGTTCCAAACTTTTTTAAGACATCACAGCCATCTAAAATATGTTGCTCAGACCCGGCCTTCTTGTCGTTTTCTAAAATACTGTGGTTGCTGTTTTCTACACTGGAATCAAGGTTAAATGATGCTCTAACATTCGTTTTAATTATGTTGAGCAGTCGCAGTTGCCTGTATGAAATTAAAAGAATGATTGTTCTGCAAGATAACTAAAAAAACACAATTCTTACGGCCGGGGTTCCAATAACTTATCAAATGAATCTTTCCATGCTTCATCCTGCAAAGTATCCTCCATCTTGACTATGTTTCTATAAATCTAAAGTCTACTATTTAAATTTATCACTTCAATAGAGATGTGAAATACATACTTCGATTATTTAATGTCTTTTTGTCGGAGCCGCCATATTTAGATCATTAGGGTGCTCCCGTACCTGTTTAATTGATAAATCACATATCTGTCAGCAAGCAATAATGGTATTCTTGAAAGTGCTACCAGTATGCTTCTGACTTTTCAGAACAACGCCCCGCAGTTGTTTTGGTATCTACAGCGGAAAAAAAAACTAAAAAACGAAACAAACTGATATTACACCAATTCTTTTCTCCGGCATAGGTAGTTTATTTGATTATTGTTCTGGTTTAAGTTTGCTATCGTGAGTTTTTTCCGCGAGTTTACTATCGCTATCGAAATTAAGCAGTAACGCAAATGGAGTGGTAACGCTGGCATTAGGTTGTGTTCTAGCATTATGAAAACAGCAGATCTGTATTTTGATGGCAAGCAACCGAATTTTGCATATAAACCAAACAAAAAGGACGAAAGATGTAGGAGTACCAAAGAAACTTCGTCACATTCTTCTAGCAGCGTATGCATACCCACAGGGGTCTAAGAAATTCTCTAATTATATGTATATTAATATCCATTACTTACTTATGTACATTTTACCTTTTCCCCCAGGCACAATTTAAGGTGCCAAAATGGTACTAGCTTTGGTACGCGTCATACAGATCTATTTAATATTTAGCGTGGAAAAATATGTTATCCAAAAGAAAATTAAAAAGCCTAATGACGGTGGTCACGGTTAGGATAGGTTAGGTATAGATGGCTGCTAGGCTCGTTACATTTCGGTCAGATTCGGCCAGTTGTGGCACCGCTTGGGGTATACCCTTTCCTATCCAGATGTTCTTAAAAGTTTACAATCTTCCAGGGCATAATGTAGGCATTTCTGAAATGTCGGCTAAGAAGGGCGAGCCCAAGTATTGTTGACTTCTTCTGCTGAAAGCTCTTCCACCGTGTCCTCCTCTCCTTTGTCTCTATAGATACGGCAATTGTCATTATATGGGACTCCCATCCTGTTTTTCAATATACTGTTAAAAAACGTCTGCCTGGTCTGCATAGCTCAGAGTGGTCCTGTCTATGGTCGGCCAAGTTTTCCGAGTTATGACACATCGTGGCACTAATTGCCACGTATTGTCTATTTAGCGCTTGTATTGGTTTTTTATGAGCCATATGAGGCCAATGGACATAATTGGCATTCGAATATCCTCCTTTTCTTGGTGAAGGGGGCAGAAGCAGCTAGTCTGCTATACAGTTGCCCTTCAATATCCCCCTGACCCGAGACCCATATGAGGCTGATAACAAATTGCTGAGCTATCTCGTGAAGAGATTTGCCGAGTTCGAGGAAATCGTATTTTCTGATTTTATCGCATCTTGGCTGTCGCTATGAATGTTTATCCGAGTTGCCATAACGGTAACAGCTTAAAGGAAGTTCGGAGCTTCTCTGATTAAAATGATCTTCGCTCATGAGACGCTACAGTGATCGGGGAGCCTGAAGATGTGCCCTTTGTTTAGCTGTTCGGAGTAGATTCCTCCTCTGACCCTGTTGTCCAGCTTCAATCCATCTGTAAAGATTATAGCCCCATCTTTGCCCCCGTCTCTGTGAGGGATGATTGTATTGGAGGCTGTCACTGTGTACTCCCTTAGAACACCGTAGTCCATTTTTGTAATGACTGTGTGCTGCGATGCCCGTTGTTTGGTGATCGTCGGTTTTGATATTGTAAGCTACCACTCAGTAACTCCGTAGAGTAGCATTTATCTAACTATTGCTAGATATATCCATTGGAATATTCTTGGGTTCATTCCCCATTTTAGGCTTTTTTGCATGTTTTAAGGGGTGTCATAGCATTCTTCACTCTGTCTTTGATGTTCAGGCTACAATTAAGGTAATAACCAGTCCTAACGTAAGTAGCTGGCACTCTTAACGAGGGGAGCCTGCTTCCATTTATTGTGCGGTAAAGAGGTGGAACCTTGTATTTATTTGTGAATAGCACGAGTTTTGAGGGATTTACTCACATTCCGCGGGATTCTGTCAATTCTGACAGTCGCGCGAGCTTTGCGGTCGCAGAGTGTTTGAAGGTATTTTTCCGATAGAATAATTGCAATGTGGTCGGCGTATGCAACAACTATGCAGCCTCCCTTCCAGGTCGCATAATATCTTGTTGCTAAGTTCCACAGAGAAGAGATAGGAAACCACCTTGTGGGGTGCCTTTGCTGACAACCCTTGACTGTGTGGACGAACCCATCGATGTCACCGTCCTGAATATGAGCAATTGGTCTATGAGCGTCACGAAGTTACGGTCCTCCAGGACCGTCTGGAATTCCGTAGTTGCACCCGGTACGACGTTATTAAAGACCCCCCGATATCGAGAAAAAATATTAATGAGTATTCTTTGAGATGCCGAAATTTCTCTACCGGTAAGCAAGTGGTGCGCATGACAGCATCTGAAAATTTATAGTTGTCCTCAGTAGTAGCCCGACGACTCCCTCAAGAGCTTTGAGAAGGAAGGACGATGGACTTATTGGTCTAAAGTCTATTGGAGTTAGGTATGGACCTTTTTATACGCGAGACTCAAAAACGCGAAAATTTGTGGCATCCACATCGTATCAAAGATACGACCAAACAGAAAACGCAGAATCGTAGAGGATGACTACTAGAGTGCAAAATCTGAACCAGATCATATAATTATAGCCAAAATTAAGAATACCATTTCATTCCCTCTCGCTTTGTCTCTCTCTAACATACATGTTTCATGGTCGGCTTTGCCTATTGCAAAATGTGAGTTCAAGGATCTCAGAGACTATAAAAGCTAGAGCAACCTATTTCGGTATCCACAGTCCGAGTTGACGAGTTAGTTTCAAAATTTCGCCACACCCCCTTTCGCACCTGGCAAACCCGAAAATCTGGGGCATCCACAAATCTCCATCCACAATATCCACATTCCTGTTAGATCTCACTATAAAACGCATATTTCAAAATTTCACCCTACCCCCTTACACCAGCACAAAGGACGAAAATCTGTGGCATACACAATATTAATAAAAAAAAAATACGAGAAAACTTAAAACGCACAATCATAGAAAATGACCATATATATAAGATTGCCGAATCTGGATCAATTTGCAGTAGCTACGCAGCGTCTGACGACACGCTCAGACTGATTTTCTATCTCTCTCGCACGCATTCTGTGCCGTGTAGTTTAATATTAGCGGCGTCTGCCGGAGGACGTCCATACTGACTAAGTATCGGGTATAACTGTAAAGTTGCGGTCTCCGCAGCAACTCACAACGTTTCCCCTCGTTCTGCTTTGGGGATGAAGACTATTTTTGCCTTAAGCTAAGCTTATGGTATTGTCCCCACTGCCAGTATCTTCCTCAAGATACATTTCAGTCAGCTTATGTTCCCCTTTGTTAGTTAAATAAATAAGGATGTGATCAAAGTTATCAAAGTTACCGACCCTTCACTACAGAGATATGTGCCTTGATGGTTGTTCCATCAACCCCCATGGTACACTCTGAGGGGCTAGTTTTCGAGATGATCTTGAGAAGACGTGCCTCCTCTGACGTTCCCTCGATTTCAAAGCAACATTTTTGACAATAGGACCTGTTTACTTTCCGGGTTTTCCGCCAGGGGGGTTTCTTTTCCACATAGGTTTGTTTGGGGGGCAAGCTTCCAGTCCAAAAAATTTTTCCCAGTTGGCTTTCCAATATAGTCAGTAGGTTTTGGTCTTGCGAGGGATAACATCGTCTCGATATACATGGAGTCATGGAAGGAGTGGTCCTCTAGGACTGTCCAACTCTTGACTATGTCAATAAGTTTGTGAGAGACTAAGGTGGGGTCAATGACATCCTGTCGGTTTTTTTTTTTAATAAACGTAGCGTCGTTGCCCCGAGCACAAATTAATAACTTGGATTTTAGGATGAAGCTTAAGAATAACTCACCGCTTACATTTGTGTCCGAGCTTTCCCATTGGTTGTAGTGAGCTTTGGCATTGCAGCTTATTAGTAGGCCTTTTTTCTCGTGAGCCAGGATAACATCCGACTTCATGTGCAGCTCTAGGCTCACCGCCATGTTGTATCCATTACTTAAATTACTCACACATTACTCACATCCAAGCGGATTATTTGGCCAGAAGATGCTGGCTCCAGCTCGTTATTAGGCGCTTCGATCTCCGAGCCAACGTCCTGCTTAACTGGGTTGTCGACTGGTCGCGCCCCGGCCGCTTCGTCCGCTCCAGTCTACTGCACCGAACTTCGCCCCAGAGTTGACCTCATCGATTTGCGCTACCGCTGCTTTATAAAGCTTCACGGAGCGGTCGTCTTCGAAGGCAATGATTTTAATATTGCCCTGCAACCAGCCCATGTCTTTGGTGGCTCAATGGCCCACGCTCTTTACCGAGGATCTCGAAGCAGCGGTAGGCCAATGCCGCTTCCACCCAGTTCCACTGACTTCTGGGTATCCTCCACTCCCTAGGGGTCTCTTTGGAAAGTGGCCTTTTCGCTTGAGGAGCCACCATTACCGTAAATGGCAAATCATCCCCCGGCACTTTATCAGAAAGTCGGGCAGCTGCAATGTTGCTTAACTGCCACTCCATGGTGTCAGTTTTGGGAGGTGCTGACTAGGTGACTAGCCCAGTCGTTAACTGGGAGCTCAACTGGGATGCCTTGCCGGGCAACGTGAATCTCTAATAATAACACACTTAGTTCGGCCCGGTGTGTAGTAGGTATTGTTGGGATTTGCTAGGTAGTGTGTACGGACGGGAGTGTGTGAGCTACTTATTACGAGGCAGCACTAGAAGCGCATCGTCTCTTTTGCTTTTTTGCGAAACCCCACTGTCTGCCCGGGAATGCTTATTTTTGGCACGACGAGCCGACAAATGAAAGAATGCGCAAGCAGCGGACAGTCGCTGATAAGAGGAGCGAACGCTCTGATGACAGGACCGAAAAAACGAGACTGGATCCAGCTCATGCTGACA